ATTGTGAAAGAAAGATCAAGCCATTTCGCGTTCACTCGCGTTGAATAAATTTATTACGATTCACTTACCACCAATGGGTTGCTCTACGATAACGCGAATGTGTTTTTTTGGTGGGTTTGACGATAAGAAGCAGGAAAAATAGCACAATATTAAGTAAGTATTATCCATGCTTTGATAAAATCTGAGAGAACATACCAGGCGGAGATATTAAAGACCTCAAATAAGTACGTTTATCTTCGTCTGTATCGAACTCATCAAGACAAGATACTGCAACAGCAAATTTTTCTACATGTTCAGTAAATGAGCGAGTAAACATATTTTTTCGCCTGAGACGAACCCAAGGCGCTTTATTTCTCCTTTTAGAATTGAGAGTGGATCAGACATGTTTTGGTCTTTTGGATACACAGTCACAGAACGAAAAAAAAAGATGGGGTAATCTGACTCATCAGTTGATCAATTACTTAAAACAGATATCTGACAGGACCGGGAAAAAATGTCATAGGTTAAGTATGATTCGCATTCATATGACATTATACTAAGTCACAGTATTTTGTGGTTCATGCTAATTTATGTTACTGTAATCAGATGATTCGCAAATATTAATATGGTTCGCAACTATATGAGGTTTAATTGGTTTATATATATATATATGTACCTTTTGGTTCGATCGTTTAAAATTAGATGTTATTTCATCTATCTTAATCTAGTTTAATAATTTGACATTTTAAAAGAAATGGTAACGTGTAAAATAAAATTTAATGACGCGTTTAACTGGTTTAATATTTTTTTTACCATCACATTTATTTCATAATAATAATGCCAAAAACTCTGAGAGATCCTCGTATTGCTCGTTTTCGTACTTTGAAAAACTTTGATAAAATTATTGATGAAAAAACAGTCAGTTGTAAATGTGGAGTTATAGTTCGGCTAGACCGTCCATTTAGAACAATGAATTTTGAACGACATATTAAAAGTAAAAATTGTATACTTGGTACTAGCAAACAACAAAGTTTATATATTATTTTTGATCAAAACCAAGATACTAGTGAAGACGAAATTGAATCAAGTGAAAGTTTACCTTGTATTGGTTTATTTGGTGATTTGTATACAACTTATGCTACTAGTACTCCATCTGGTTATACTTTTTCTCGTAAGAAACTTAATAAGGATCAAATTCAATATTTTAATACTACATTACAAGCAACGTCTATCTGGAAAATAGATCAATTTGAAGGAGTAATACGAAGTACAAAATACACAATTATGACAACAAATTTATCAGGTTTATGCAGCGCATGCACTAGTTTAGAAAAGAACAATAGATTAAAAATTGCACTAAATGCTGTAAGTTTAATTGAGTGTAGTTTTTTTATTTACTAAAAAAGGTTGTTGATAATTAAAAAAATTATTTATAGAGACGGGCAATATCATCAACAACCAAATTTATACCAAAATTTTATTTTAATACCCACTTGATCGCTCTTATGAGAAATAGAAACCTTAGAGATCTTTGGACTTGCATAGTTACCAATAATAATGATACTTCAATGTGGGCTTCTTTAGCTCAAATGGGAATGAATGGTGCTTTTAATGGCGAAAAAACATTTACATAATTGGCGTCTCTAATGTTACAAATTAAAATAAAAGAAGAAGCAGATATTGCATGAAAGGCTTGCGATATTCTGAACATCTTACACACTTTTTTAGCTTATTATCTGAAAGTAGCCGTGAATATGAAGTTTTTCGTAAAGCATTGGGTGGAATGTCTATTCAAAGAATTCAGTATGTATATATTTATTATTTATACTTTGCAGTTATTTTGCTTTATGATTATTTAATTTATTAAACTTAAATTTGCCAAATACGTGCTTCAAATACGGAGATAATCACAGACCCTAATTTAGTTTTAGAAAATGTAACAAAATTTGCTCACATAGCGAAGGAGTTAAAATGGGAAGGACCAATCTTATTAATGACCGATTGTACGAAGATTCGTCCTAAACTAGTATATTCTCAAGAACTTGATTATATTACAGATATTACAGGATCTACTTTATCCTCAAATGAGATTTCAGTTTCTGAAATCAGTGATATTCATGCAAAAATTCGTTACATTTATGAGAATAATCAAGTTCGAGTTATTGTCCTTAAGGTTTTTAAAAATATTTCCAATTAAGAATGTTTTTAATATTTACTTTGTCTAATATTAATTATATTAGATTCCAATCGGAAAAATACCACCAATGGTAATTGCTATTTTGCCTATAAAAGGTAACGAATCTGCAGAACAAATATATAATATTCTTTATACCGTATTTAGGGATGGTAAAATAACGGTTATTTATGATTTGGTTAATTAACCGGTTAATTAACCGTTAATTAACATATATATATTTTTTTATAAAATTTCGAAAAAAAAATTTTATTGAATATATTTATATTTATTCTTCATCTAAATTTAATACATTATATTCAAACCCATGATTACTTTCATCAGAATCACTTACATCATTATTTCCTTCATTTTCACTATTATCACTAATTACTAATGCTAAATTTTTTTTTTTTGTAATTTTTAAAGGTCCTTTATAAATTCGAAGATTCCCATAAATATAAACTAAATTTTTTAACACATATATTTTGTATCTATTACGAATTTTATTATGAATAAAACTAAAAGTGGAAAAATTTCTTACGAGAATTTTTATTTCTAAATATATTAATTATAGCCGATTATAGATTATATTATATTATATAAAATAAAGCTTGAATTTGATTGGTTAATCATAAATAACGGTTAATTAACCAATGTTAATTAACATAAATAACGGTTAATTAAACATGGTTAATTAACCCCCATCCCTAACCGTATTGGAATTTGCACATCAAAATAATATAAGTATTCTTAGTATGGGTGTTGATGGAGCAAGATCAGAATTTAATTCTCAAACACAAATTATGAGTTCTTCTTCAACATATTTTACGTTTGATGATCCATTTTATAATGTGCATTTTAAAGTACCAATTATAAATGGGAGACCATTAGTTCATATTCAAGACCCAAAGCATGTGAAGAAAACAGCATGAAACCAATTATTTACTGGAACATGACTTCTTTTATTAGGAATAGATACTGCTCGATATGATCAACTGTATCAACTAGCACATCAAGATGAACATATTTTATTAAAACATGATGTTCTTAATGTTGATAAATAGGATGATGGTGTTGCATATCGGATGTTTCATTCAGACAATTTATTACAAATTATTCAAGCAGAAAATATTTCTTCTGATATGAATGGACTTTTCATTTACTTATTTATTCTTGGTAAGTTATTTATTAAATTTATATAAGTCTATATTTATTGTAATTATTAATTATTTATTTTAATAGGAGAATTATGTGACACATATCTTAATCAAAAAATTGATCATAAAGCAAGGATTAGAATGGTCATGCATAGTTTTTTCTTAAGATATGGAAAGATTACATTCAACGTTATGGTATAATTCATTCATCAAAATGGCATAACATATAATGCAATATTATATCTATTCAAAGTTTTGATATTTTTATTAGTATGGCAGAATTCTTGTTAATGCTTATTATGGTTCATCGGGAATACTATTCTAAATATCCTTTATTCTTATGAAAATACAGAAATGAGGCTCTTGAGCATATTTTTGGTATATCATGTCAAGTAATAGCTGATTTTAACTTCTATGAATTTTATAAAATTCAAAAACATATGATGTATAGGAATAAAATTTTACGTGCTGAACTAATTAATACATTGAGAGATCAAACATCAGCTGGAGGTAAAAATTTTATTATATAATATTAAAGTGTAGTTTAATAAAAAATTCTCAAATTTTATTTATCTTAGGTTATGTGTTTGATATTGATGGTATTTCTCTTCCTTATAAAACTATTGAATATTTACGTACTTGGTCATCTGAAGAAAATTTTAAAGAAGCAATTTATATTGGATATAGTAAGGCAATATCATTAGCAGAATATCTTCAAATTGATAATAGAACTGCACCTTCAATGCAAAGATTTATTTATCGTATTAAGCATTATTCAGATAATATAAACAATTTAGAAATAATGGATGATGATGACAATCAATATTAAAATTTAACTGGTATAAAAAAATCAATTTATTTTGTATTTTTTATATATTTTTTTTAATTAATATTTATTTTAAAGCAAATTGTTAAACAGCAAATAGAAACTGAAAATATTAGGACTATACATGAAGTCGAAATGGATCATTTCAGATATCCAAAATAGTCGAAATAGTCGAAATCATTTTTTTTTGATACATTTACTAGGCACGCACAAGTGGTACTATATTTGGATGCATACCCTTCAACAGAAATAGATACGTCTTACAACATGTCAAATGCCACTATTAACCCCCTTTGCTATTTTTCAAACCAGTGTGAGTTGGCGTTAAACCTAGGTAAATAAGTGTTAATATCTGAGTAGACTGCCAAACCAATGAACCCTCAGGGTAAAGAGACGTGGTATCTAGCCTTCATTTACTATTCATCACAACTACTGGAAAGAGGATCAAGAACAACCTAAGATGATAACCTACATCATAGTTGCCTCGCTATACGTCAAAATCACCCCATAAATCAAACCCAGGCCTCCAAACTCTAGTTGTGATATAGACACCACGATGATTGAAGACAGTGCAATATCAACCACCTATAACCTACGACTATTGTTCAATCCAAGTTATACAATGCCTACCATTGACCTACTCTCATGGGTACCCTTTGCAGACGATGCGGCACTTGTTCATTACAAACCAGCTCTCACTATCAGTTTCAAACTCAATTGGTTCACGATAGGTGAGAATATCTATTATCACTACCTATTGTCAGGATGGAGTTCATGTGTTGGAACATGATTCAGCTTTATCTGGAGAAGCTATTAAATTAATGAAATCACAGGATTTG